ACTCATGGTATGAACCAGTGCACCAACTACAAGATTCCTCTTCTCTGACGATGGTCTGTAAATTGCAACAAAAGCGCCATTCAGCCTCAGTTTACAAGTTACAACATGCATGTAGCTTGCACGAAATAAGTTACGGATTTGTGAAATCTATTGTCAAAGTTCTTTAATGTCAAAGAAAATTTAGATTTTTCAAATCCTAAAACAAAGCAATTTTTTAAACAAAGACCCACATAAGCATGCATGCTCATCAAGCTGCGGAAGATAAATTGGAAGACCAAATAATACATAAATTTTCATGATATTAACAGGAACAACTTAGTTTGAAGCATGATTCTAACATAGAAAAAAGTTCTGAAAACACCCAGGCTGATTTGAGACAAGCAACCAACCGCGCCTCGCTGCCCACGATGAGCGCGCGCCACTCCATTGAGGAACTTTCTGGGTTGTACTAGTCGCTCCTGTTTTATAGAGATAGATAGGTGCACGGTGAGAGACAGACAGAGAGAGCGCTTCTCGGACCTTATAGTCTATTACCAATCCAAGTTGTAAAATCTTTATTAGCTTCGAAATCGTAACTTTCAGTACTATAAGTTTATGCAAATTATGTTTTATTATTTCTTAATAAGAAGTTGACCACATGTTTTGTCCTTTACATTCTATTGTCCAAATCATTTTAAATTAAGTAACTTCTTAATAGCGATGCTAGACATCATAGTTTGGTGGTAAGAATTGCTTTATATTTTTAGCAAAAGAAGTAAATTAATTGCATTGTTTGTGGAGATTTAATGACATTATGGATATCTTACTTGTTCAGATTTAATGATGATGTTACCAACTACATTGAAATTTTATTTGTAGGACGCTTTGATGAAAGTTAGAGAGCTTTACTGTATGTGTGTTACACACACACACACACACACACAAGAAAAAATAAACTATGTATGTTGTACCAAGGTTTTGCACCTCCTAACCACCAAAAAAAATTATGTTATAATTAACAACAAACCATGTGACCAGGACAGACATCATTGCCTAAAAAATGGTTCATGGTATCATGCTGTGTTCGACTTTTACTTGTTCAAATCTCGGATATTGACCAAGCCATAATATCAGGACCAGGGAAAATAAACTAATCCCCCTGATTAACAAGCAACACTTCAATTCCTAGCTTTTGAATTGAACATTATTAACAAGTTTAGGAAACTTCCTGTAGTTTGCACAACAATGGGTCTTGGTTTCGCACCTCCTAACCACCGAAAATTTTACATTATAATAAACAAGAAACCTTGTCAACAGGAAAATTCTAGATTCATGACATCATTCCCTAAAACACGTTCATGGCATCATGCTGTGTTTAACTTGTACTTGTTCAAATCTCTGATATAGACCAAGCTATAATATCAGGACCAGGCCAAATACATTAACACCCCAGAATTAACAACTCTTCCTAGCTTTCTACTGAACATTATTAACAAGTTTACGAAACCACCAATAGTTAGCATAGCAGGTCATCCTACTTCTAGATTATCTTCTAGTAATATGTTAATGTGCAAGTTGTCTCTAGTTGACCAAAATCAGTGAACATTATTAACAAGTTTAGGAAACTGCCGATAGTTTGCACTGCAGTGGGTCGTCTACTTCTAATTTATCTTGTAATAAGATGTTGATGTGCAAGTTGTCTCCAGAACAAAATAAGTGAACGTTATTAACAAGTTTTTGAAACTGCCAATAGTTTGCAGTGTAGTGTATCATCTTCTTCTAATTTATATTCTAGCAATGATGTTGATGTGCAAGCTGTCTCTAGTTGAACAAAATAAGTGAACATTATTAACATGTTTAGAAAACTGCCAATAGTTTGCACTGTAGTTGGTCATCTACTTCTATCTTCTAGTAATATGTGAATGTGCAAGTTGTCCCAGAACAAAATAAGTGAATGTTATTATCAAGTTTAGGAAACCACCAATAGTTTGCACCGAAGTGGGTCATCTTCTTCTAATTTATCTTCTACTAATATGTTGATGAGCAAGTTGTCTCTAGTTGAACAAAATAAGTGTTCCACAATACAAGTTTATATTTTCATCAATTTATACCATAGGTATACACCCAGTACATTATCACTCCACTTAATGTGCCACATTTCTAAGTTCCAAGAAATAAACCAGCAAGGGATCATATCAATCCCACTATGCCATAACATATACTTTAGAAATGGTAAAAACTGTTTCTAGAGGCGGCTAGCTCGTCCGCCTCTGTACATGTGTCTTTCTAGAGATGTCTGGTTTCGCCCGCCTCTAGAAATGGTCCACCAGACCCACATGTTGATTTCTTATTACTTCCCCTCAAAGTCAAGACATGGCTTGAACCAATATGATGCACCCCCCGTGGTATGTATGCCTTGTTTGTCATGGGGACCCAAACCTTTGAGACCCATACATGTTCTACATCACATCATTAAGCACCTCAATAGGCTTATTCCATATCAACTCTTTCACCCAACTTTTGTTGCAAGCACCATCTCATTGTTTATCTTCTTAAGGATGTAATAGTTGGTCTTGATTTTATTCCTATCATTGGACTTGGTGTACATGACGAAGGCCTTGATGGTTTCACTAGTAAAAATGCAAACATACATGATAAAAAATCATCACCATGGTAATAGCCAAACTTGCCATAAAGAATCTTTTGTGATGAATTAGTGACAAATCTATATTTGTAGAAAATGGAGTGTCAAATTTATTTCTTAATGACATAGTCAAATAAATTTTTATCATTAACTTGTTTTCCATTCATGATCAAAATATTCATGTCATAGAACCATTTCCATTTTATGACCAAAATAAAATTGTCTTGATCAAGCCCATATTCTTCCCCCTCTCCATCTTATTGGCCTTGACTTTGTTGCATCAGAAGGATTTATGGGCTTGTTGGTGGCTCAACTATAATACCAATTGAAAGGAAATTGAGCATCTAAAAACTAGGAGCAACAGGGGAATGGGATCAATTGGGTTTCTAGAAACTTAACCTAAGGCTCGTCTAGATCTTCACTAGAAATAGAATAAACAAGCTACCATGATCTAAACTTATGTTTTTCCAGTGAACTCTACTAACTTAAACTCACTAAGAGCTTTTCAATCTAGAGTCAAACCTATCAATTAGCCTATGCACAATGTGTAAGCTTAAATGTGGTAAGTAAAAGATCAAGCAAGAAGGCCATACTACTAAGACGCCGTGATGTATCTCGCGGTGACAATTGCTAAAATGCAACACCTAATACAAGTTGGAGCTCCACAAAAGATATGCTTCTGGTCACTGAGGCTTCCACCACTCATCGTAATTAATGAGCTTGCCATAAAGGCTATAGCCAATCAATACAAGTACTAAAAGTCATTAAGATATGTCCATCGCCATCTGACTCTCCCCGTCCTCTACACATCTACACAGTACTGCCACTCCACACAAAGCTGGAATAGTCAAGGCCTCTGAAGCCCAAGTACACCATCCCTCAAACTAAAGGCCTAAAAGTCTCACCAAGACGAGCACTAAGCTCGTGGATGTAGTGTTCCAACACTTGATTCACTGCTGGATTCAGGTTCTTTGCCGAGTGCCTGAGGCACTCGGCAAAGGCTGAATTGCACTCGGCAAAGTCTTTACCGAGTGCGGCACTCGGCAAAGAACACACGATAAAAAATTGATCGGCAACACTCGGCACAAGCTTTGCCGAGAGCCCCGGGGGCACCCGGCAAAGAAAAGCGACCGTCACGGCGCCGGCCCCGTTGACGGTCGCTTTGCCGAGTGCCAACCCTGCAGGCACTCGGCAAAGATTTTTTATTTTTTTTAAAAGAAAAAATTCTTTGCCGAGTGCCCTCTATCCAGCCCTCGGCAAAGATGTTTTATTTTTTTTCTAAAAATTCTTTGCCGAGTGCCCCCTGGCCGGCACTCGGCAAAGTTTAAATTTTTTTTAAAAAAAAAATTCTTTGCCGAGTGCCCTCTGGCCGGCACTCGGCAAAGTTTGAATTTTTTTTAAAAAAAAATTCTTTGCCGAGTACCATGGTCATGGCACTCGGCAAAGCTGGAAAAATGGTTTTCCGAGCGCCCATTTTTCCAGCTTTGTCGAGTGCTGTGACCATGGCACTTGGCAACGGGGTCCTTTGTCGAGTGCAACACTCGGCAAAGTGACCCAAAACAGCAATTTTTAATTTTTTTTTACATTCCATCATAACAAATAAATTCATACAAACATATATCACATATATATATCATCCATCACATATATATCTCATCTATCCACACTTCCATCCGTACATATCACATCCATCACAATATATATCACATATATAATAATAAGTGCTCAAGTCCATCCAAATAAATCCACAAGTCCATCAAAGTCCACAAGTGCATCACAAGTATATCACAAGTCCATCACCAAGTGAACAACAAATGAAAAAAAATACAACGTGCACTCATCTCGGCCACTGCGACTGTGGTGAAGGCCCAGCTCCATCATTCGGAGGTGCATGAGGTGGATTATTCGAACCACCGTCAAATAGAGACTGCACAAAGGAGAAAAGATTGCATGTGAGACAAGATTATTTGGATAGCTAATCTATGAAGGTAGAGGCCATACAAGCAAAGCACAAGCGAAAGTAAAAAACTTTCATACTTACAAAAGGAGCGACAGTGCGAGCTGCAGACGGCCTCGAATACAAATACAAAATGAATGGTTCGAATAAAAAATGATAGGAGATCATAAGAATTGACACAGATTAGATACTGAATTCACGTGTACAAAAAATATTCTAGGTCGCACAGATTAGATATTATACAACAGATTGACACAATTATTTTTTCCATTTACCATTTCAATTTTAACTATCTGAAATTCTGAATAATAACCATAATTGTGTTGCAACGTTTGAAAACACACAGGGTCATAAATTGAAAAAATACAGAAGGCATAGGGAGTAACCTGAAGCAAATGTAATCCTAACTGTCTTCCTCTTCTAGGTCCATAGTGTTGTCACCATCATCACGATCCATAATGCTGTCATTGCCATCTTCATGATTACTATTGCCATCCGCCTTTTCTTCAACAAGCAATTCAGTGAAATGATTCCAAATCGGTGAAGTCTTCTTTTTCTTCTTTGGAGCCCTGACTTTGGTAGCCGGACTTCATCTTGCTGGGACCCAGTCCCAATCTCAGCACCATCTGCGCCAGTAGCCTCTATATGAGGTTTTGTCTCCTCTCGCTTGCATTCACATTGGCAATGGCATCTGGCGCTCTTCCATTTCCAGATGGCGCCACAGCCTGCAAGAAGAAATTTGATACTTTCATCAATTCAGGTTTAATATGTGTGCTGCAGCTAATTTAGGATATGGACTGCATGTAAAAAGTATTGACAGAAACTATATCCTGGTAAAAACTATATCTCCCTCATAAATGTTATATATATTCAGTTAAAAAAACATGTCAAGTTTGCTTGTTGCCTGGTTGATAATGAAATACATCATTTATGATACAGTCACAAAGGGATTCACAAACACAACAGTAGGATGCTGGTGTCATATTCATCAGAATTTTTTTACTTTACATCTAAGACTGCTTTTCTCAACAACAGAACTTAATAAATCATTCACGTATGTGTATGAACGCACCTTCTTTTTTGATAATCTTGCCCTTGAAACCATGGCTATTAATCACCTTCACTACAACACCTTTTGCTCCCAAATCTATAGCTAGAAAATGAGCAAATGTAGCAAGATGCTGCTAATCCTAGAAGGTTAGAAGCAACCATCGTCAAGAAGCAAGAATGAAGCGAGTCACCTTTACGGAGCAGGGGCAGATCTGCAGGGGCAGCAGGAGCAGTAGCACCTGCTGACGCTCGTCAGGCCTGTCATGGGCTCAACCTCGAATCGAATTGGGGTTGTGCTCATTGCAGCAGGAAGTGAAGCCCCGCCCACCGCCGTGGCCCCTGGGAGCGGAAACTTGGGAGCACGCCAGCACAGAGCTGGCACGAAGCCGTGAATGGAGCTGCGGCGCGCACGGAGCTTCGGGCGAGGAAACTCCCACACGACATGCACCGGTAGAGAAACGACTTTTGATCCACTTCAAAATTTGGTTTTAGTCCCGATATTTTTTGCGCCCGGGACTAGAGAAACCTTTAGTCCCGGTTGGTGTCTTCAACCGGGACTAAAGGTCTCTGCCCAACGGCTACAGCGCGCGGCACAGTGGCAAGGGACCTTTAGTCCCGGTTGGAGACACCAACCAGGACTAAAGGTGGACCTTTACTCCCGGTTGGAGCCACCAACCGGGACTAAAAGTCCTCTAAGTTTTAGTGCATTTATTGCCGTGCTTTATGAGCTGATGACCAGCACTGAACTTTTAGTCCCGGTGCTTTACTTGTACCGCTTGCATTTACTGGCTGATGACCAAGATCGAACTTTTAGTCCCGGTGCTTTACTTGTACCGCTTGCATTTACGGTGATGACCAGCATGAACTTTTAGTCACGGTGCTTTACTTGTACCGCTTGCATTTACGAGATTTAGTCCCGGCTTGCATTTACCTGCTTGCATTTACGAGCTTTAGTCCCGGCTTGCATTTACCTGCTTGCATTTATTGCTGACACTGAAAACGAAGACCTTTAGTCCCGGCTAGTATTACGAGCCGGGACTAAAGGTATACCTTTAGTACCTTTAGTCCCGGCTGGTAGTCCCGGGCGTTTACAGAAGCCTCGATGGGCCGGCCCAGTACGCAATATGCTGGAATTGCTGGCCAGTCCACCTATTAGCACCACCTCGCTTGCTCGTAAGAGTGAAAGCTAACTTAAAAGCTCAGCTCTCGAACCAAGCAAAGCACGAACTTGAACAGATTGTACTGGCGATCCTTGACTAAAGATCCTTTGTACTATAGTTTATATAAAATGTTGAACATTATAAACGACGTATATTCTAGCGTAGAATGCGTATTCAAAAACCAAAACGAATCATCAATTAAAAATAGGAAAAAAGGAAAATAGAAATAGAAATAAAAAAAACACAGTAGCAGCGTGAAAATAGAAAAAAAAAAGGAAAAAAGAAAAATAGAAACAAAAAAAAACTTTAGTCCGGTTGGGGTTACCAACCGGGACTAAAGAGTGCCGGCCTCGTGGCATGTCAGGAGGCACCTTTAGTCCCGGTTGGTGTTACCCACCGGGACTAAAGGACCCCCTTTAGTCCCGGTTCCTGACCCGGGAGTCCCGGTTGGTGTTACCCACCGGGACTAAAGGACCCCCTTTAGTCCCGGTTCCTGACCCGGGACTAAAGGACTCCCTTTAGTCCCGGATGCTTGCTCCCGGGTGGGGAACCGGGACTAGAGGGGGTTCTCCACCGGGAGTAAAGCCCATCTCTGTACCAGTGATGGTACCACGATATCCCTCGCAGCTCATTTGTCGCTCCCCAGCCATCAGTGATGACACCCAACTGCGCGTGGCTGGGGGGAGGGCTTGCATGTGGCGCGGGAAGGGTGGAGTGTGGCAGGCTGGTGGGCGGCTGGCCCGTGGTGGCGGGCGGCGGGGGGCGCAGCGCGGGCAAGCGGCGGGGGAGGCGGAGGCGGCAGCGAGCGGCGTCAAGGGGCTATCATCTGTCTGTGTGGCTTGGACTACCCGGCCGAATTTGCCTAAGTGCACCCACCTGCCCCTTTGCCGAGCGCCGGATCAGGGAGGCACTCGGCAAAGAGGCAACTTTGCCGAGTGCCCCGATCCGGCCGTCGGCATAGATTTTCGGCAAAGAGGAAATATCTAAAAAAATTCAAAAAAAACTCTTTGCTGAGCGTCTTATTCTTGGCACTCGGTAAAGACCCCATTTGCCGAGTGCCATGCCCCGGCGCTTGGCAAAGTTTTTTTTTCGTTTTTGGCCTCCAAATTTTTTGTGCAGCCCTTTTTAAGTACCAGAAACTCATCGTTATAATTTGGGGATTTTTTGTGGCTTTTTTATATATTTAGTTACTCTAGTAGCGAGAATACTCTAAATTCAAGTAAACGAAATAAAGTAACTAAATATATCAAAAAGCCACAAAAAAATCCCCAAATTCTAACGAGGAGTTCCTGGTACTTAAAAAGGGCTGCACAAAAAATTTGGAGGCCAAAAACAAAAAAAAAATGCCGAGCGCCGGGGCATGGCACTCGGCAAAGGGGGTCTTTGCCGAGTGCCAAGAATAAGGCGCTCGGGCAAAGAGATTTTTTGAATTTTTTTTAGAAATTTCCTCTTTGCCGAGTGCCTTCACAGGGGCACTCGGCAAAGGTATTTCAAAAAAAATTAATTCCTCTCTTTGTCGAGTGTCGAATCAATGGGCACTCGGCAAAGACATTTCAAAAAAAAATATTGAATCTTTGCCGAGGGCCGTGTCAGGGGCACTCGGCAAAGTATTTTCCAAAAAAAATATTTGCCGAGTACCTAACAGGAGGCACTCGCTAAAGAAGGACGTGGCCGAACACCGTTACGCGGGGCAGCCTATGCCGAGTGCCGCGCTTTTGCCGAGAGCCTGGCACTCGGCAAAGAAGTCCTTTGCCGAGTGCCCTTTTTTGCCGAGTGCCTGGCACTCGGCAAAGAACTCTTTGTCGAGTGCAATTCTTTGCCGAGTGCGGCACTCGGCAAAGAAGGTTTTGCCGAGTGCCCGATTTTTGACACTCGGCAAAGCAGTTTGCACTCGGTAAAGGCCCTGTTTCCAGTAGTAATTTATCCTTGAATTAAATTTCTAGGGCCTCCATATAGTGGATGTAGTGTTCCAACACTTGCTCTAGCTTCTTATGGCTTCAAGGCAATCCAATACAGCTCAAATAGCTAGTGGAATTGTGTGTCTGCGTGCACACATGTGCACGTGTGTGTGTGTCAAATGGCTCTGATCTCCGGACGGTCTTGCGTTGTTCAAACTGTTTCTACCACCGGAATGTCCGCTCCATTGTAACCATTTGTTTAAAATTGCGGGCTATAGCAAATAGCTGCAGCTTTTTTCAGGAGCTATAAAGCTATAGCGGAGCTATGACAGATAGCGTTTTTTAAGAAAAGTATAAAAGTGCAAGTAATAATTGATTCAATGACATGACAATCATAAAATTTGATGAACACAAACATGTTTTTAAGATTTAGGAGTCTAGAGAACCTTACATAATATAATATTATAGCATGATTTATGTAACTCAAGTGTTCAATTTCCAAAAGACCAAGTTAGCAATAAAATATAAGTAGATAAAAAATTAGATTACCACTGTTATTGCTAAAATAGTAATAGACCGCTATTTCAAAGGTACAGCTAAGCAATTTAGCGGCGCTATAGCACAATATAGTAGTCGTAGCTGACATAGCGGCAAAACAACAATAGCTTAGCGTGGACTCTTTCCAAAAGCTATAGTTGTGCTACAGCGCTGCTATCTAAAACCGTGGTAACCATTGGACTATACATGCATTGAGCATTTATGTTGACGTCATTTTTCTTTATGCTCATCCTGATTGTCCGATGCTCTTCATCTTATTCTGGCAGGATTGTCTGATCAGTTCAAGTCATCAGTGGTCATAAATACCCCCAGCTTTGTGTTGACTGTCCTGAAATTGCACGATTGGACATTCCGCCCAAGTCAGTTTCCTTGTTTTTTTTTTTATTTCTTCATGTTTAGGTGATTTATATTATTATTATTATAACATTAACTTTTATGAATGTATTTACAGGAGCTTAATTTGAATGTTGTTGTTATAAATAATTAATCTAAAATTCTTTAAGAATATGAAATGATGATGATAATAATAATAGTAGTAGTAATAATAATAGGGATATTTTTAAAAAATCATTTTTTAGCATGATTAAAATCATTATCATTGTCTTGTTACTGTTGATACATGAAGGCTTCAGAAATAGTTATATCTAGCAAGCAGTTGTGCTGTCAAGACTAGCACTACCAGTTTCCACTGTCCAGTGGAAACAAGTTATGACAGTACCCCTAGGAAATCGCTATCATCGATTGGCAGAGCTACCATTGATAAGTAGTATCATTACTGGCTCATAGTTACAATATTTGTTAGTTTCAGGATTAAAAATGGCCACTTCTCTCCAGTAGCAATGGATGGTTAAACCTAAGAAAGTAGAAGACCAATAGAAGTGCTGAAACAACTGATAATATATGAGATAGAATAGGGGTCTAGCTGTTTGTTGTAGATGCTGTCAGTTGTCGATTGTAATAGATGTTGATAGCTGGATATTTCTTTTCCTTCTGATTTTGTTGTTATTCGATTTGACTGCGTGTACACAAGTTAGTCACTGTAAAATTGATAAATCTGTAGAACACTGCTGAGTAAGCAAGCTTGGTTTCGTCAGCTACTGGTATGTGAAGCTAGCTTCTTCTGCCATTCGTTTTTTTTTTTTTTGTCAAGTATTGCCATGGTGATTCGTCGACATGATAACGTATAGTAGGTTCACACAGCGCACCACGGTGATAGAATAGAGTATTCTTGTGAATGCCAAATGGCCAATCGAAAACATAAAACTGGAAGCTTGCTAGAAAAGTCTATGGGCTAGCCACGGACTATAAATACAGCTATATACAGCTTCGTTGCTTGCGAAAGCAGAGAATGCGCGGTGGAGCATGGCATAGTCATAGAGCCTTAGGCTAGGACTAGACGAAGCAGATGCAACAACAAAGCTCTAGGAGAGGGCACGAGATGCCGAAGAGGCTGCGGCCCCGATCCGCGGCCCCTGCTATCCGTCGGGGCCCCAGCCCTATTGAGATCCCAGCTCCACTATCCTTGAGGCCCCCTCGCCGGAGCCGTTCTCTTCCCCTTAGCGTCAAGACTTGGGTAAACATCTCTCCCCTGCAAGACCCTGGAGAAGGATACTCTCCTCGCATCGGATCAGGGCAGGCGCTTCAAGAATCGCTGCGGGACACAGCCACCACATCCATGTCATCAGGAAGGTAATGGAGCAATATACTAGTATATGATGTGCATATCTCCAGAGCTACTATGGGAGACGGTTTTTGTTTCTTCCACAACCCTCATCAATAATCACTTAGATGTTAATCCCAAACAGGATTGTACACATACTACAGGTTCCAAACTCAGCACGTTATTATACATTGTTATAAATAAAAAAATAAAAAAAAAACGGTGCCATTCTAATTGGTGATCGCAATCATGAACGCAGTGAAGCTTACTCGGATCAGCAGCAGAAGGCCAGTGGAGCACACGAGGCCGTGCTGGAACATGTGGCCGCCCAGAACATCATGCTAGCAGAGGCGGCTCTAACGCACTTCAACGCAGAGAACCCAGTATGTTATTGAACTAGCGAGCACAAAGACTAGCTAATAATCAATTCACCGACACATGGCTCTGACTAAGTTACTACTTGTGCACTTGCCAGGAAGAAGAGTACATGCTCGTTACCGATGATGGTACAAAGGCGCCAATATCTAGGGTCTTTGTTCACGATGGACCCTGGTTCCACTGCAACTTCAGTGCACGGGCTAAGAACGACAACGGCGGCAACAGAGTGGTGCAGTTCTACGCCGAGATCTTTTATGCCGAGACGCCTCGTGTGATGAGGTGCTGCGTCCTGACCAATGTAGCAGGTACACTTTCTTGCAAATTACCTCGTCGTCTCAGTCGGCAGCCATCACTGTGCAAAATGATCTCATCATCATCTATCCAGAGTCATATCCGGACCGCACTTGTGGATTTTGTGGAGGTAATGCGAAAAGAGATGGAATACTTCACCCTCCTGATGTTCTGGGTTACAAGAACTGGTTAGGTTTAGCCAATGGTGTGGACAGCTTCGCGAGGCATGTGCATAAAAAGCCGGACCATAGTCGACGCAGACCTATGCTCGAACAGTTCCAAGAGGTGCGAATATAATTGTGGAGTGAGTGGTATATACGCATTCGCTCGCAAGTTTTTCGATGCAGTACACGAATGTATATGGAAGGAAATGTTAGAAATGTATTGTAGAGATCCGACGATAGGAACCAATATCCTAACTAATCCTATCTATAACAGCCGGATCCTATCTCATCTCTAACATATGCTCCGCACTCCGGACGAAAGAGCACCAAGATGCGGACGATTCATCAATGAGCATGCACAAGTATTAAAGATTAGAGGTAAAGTGCATGTAGTATGAGTTCTGTAAGTACGTTTGCGTGTTATATTTGATTTGGATTGTCATAGTCCAAGTACTTTGTAATCCCAAGTGGCATTTGGTGTAATGTTTCATTTCCAGTAATATATTGATTCTGTTTGTCCATAACTTAACTTTGCAAAACTAGATGATACCTCGCGCGCTGCGGTGGAAATTTATAAATGTATGCACTGAACATTTACTAAAAAAAACAATAATTAATACGAACACACGTATAGGTTTACTCATGAACTTCTATTATGTTTTGCTTGGTATACGTGCACCTGATTTGAATGTCCATGGTCAAAACAGATGTGCCGATCACTTTCTCATAACAACATAGTAACATCCCACATATGCAAGTTCTCAACTCCAAGCGCATACAGTTGCATCTATCTTATGAACACACACGCACATAGATGTGTTAGCTAGATTGGTTCACAGGCAAGGAAAGTACAGAACCTCAGAGGAAAGGAAGGTCGGAATCAGCAAGCAAGGGACTAAGGTGCTAGGAGATAGGTCTAGAAGGAACTGGATATAGGAATCCGGATACAAAAGAGATAGAGAGAGTTGGGAAGAAGAGCAGTAACTAGGGAGAGGTACTATGTTTTCTGATAATTGTTCGATGCCCTTCCTCTTGCCATCCCGGCCCTTTGTACTGGCTTGGCCTTGCCTTTGCTTCTGCCTGACAGCCCGGCCCCACCTGGCAGTCCATCTTACACATATCCCTGACATTCCCCCTTCTTAAAATTGGCTGCCCCCGAGCTAGTGGAGAAGTTAGGAACCACTAGGATCTCAGGGAAACTACGAGCACCTGATTTGGATCAGAAGTGTGATCTTGATCCCCATAGAAGAAGGTAATTAGAGAAGTTCCTTTGCCTCTGCAGTTGGAGCAGCATGCAGAATGACATCACACATTTGCTGTCCAAGTCTTTTTCGTCATCCTTGAGTGACGAATCACACGATCACATTCGGTTGGAGCAGAATAGAAACAAGGATGCCATTGACAAGAGCAGGCAACAAATGTACTCATCTTGCTGGGAATTGAATTGGTCCTGAGTAAAGCAGCATTTACCAAATACTTGTCATATACAAGGGTTGCGAGGGAATTGCAGTCCCAGCAAGTGTGCATATAATTATATGTGACTGTAAAATTAGCTTGTCCATCCATGAGTGCTACCAGTGCAAGCAAATGGCAAGAACAGCGCACAATTGTAATTTGAAGAATTCCAGTTTCCATCAGAGTTGCTGACACACCAACAGCGTGCATTCCCGCTACTTCAAGTGGACAACACTGAAATAGTTGTTGCATATTAGATGTTACTGTAACCACGAGATGTTCACCTTCCACCAGAAATTCTCTTTTGAGCATGTATGCACGTGATAGAATCATGCCCCATTGACCAACACTAAGTGGCAGCATAGCTCTTCTATCATTGATGAGATGCAGAAGAATTATAGCCAGAGCCTGAAGCTTTCTAGGAAACAACTGGATCATGTATACCCTTAACCATGTGCATGACAACTTGATATCGTTGAGTCCAGCAACTTGCACTGCATTTTGAAGTAACTCCAGCCAAAGCTTCTAGCACTCTTGACAGCTTACATAATGGAAGAATGGAACCATAGACTGGCGCAATGAGCAGCTAATCACAAAACTCACAGATAACTGAAACCATGTCCCGTTGCTTTGGGGTGGCGGCCATGGAGGCTTGTACTGCATAGCAACCCATCCTAAACAGATCAGTGACCAGAAACCAAAATAGAGTTGAGTGGAGTTCACAAGCATAGTATTCACTGAAAGTGATGTCTTCAAGTGCACAGGGGCTGCATAACCACAGAAAAATGGCCAAGGGATTGGCCTGAGATGGACTACATCAAAACTGGTATCAATGCAGAGCTTCATCTGAACAGATTGACCTTGTGTAGGTGGCAGCCATGGTTGAGAAGCTATACTGGTATGAACTATAATGTGCACACTAGAAACACCTCTGTCACAACCTCTTCCATGATTAACTATTTTCAGCTTGCTAAGAACAGATGCATTCATCACCTCATGATCAAGCAATGATATACCAAGAGGTACATGAAAAACAACGAATCTCCTTGGTCTCATCAAGCATTTCCAAGGCTGTACAAGTGCAGGAAGCACACACCAGATTTGTTGTTGAGTTGATACATACCATGGGAGCTTCCAGAGTCGGCCAGGGTGACCCGTGGCAGAGTTCCTCACAGCCATGTAGAACGACGGCCATGGTGTAGGCCGTAACTCAGCATCACAACCCATCAACCTCAGTTCGTCAGGTGGTGGCCATGGTTGGTGTTGATTGACTCCCAGTGACATACGACTCGGCAGCTCGAAGCCAATGCAGATGTTGCAGAAGATGTCTACATGCAGTGACAATTCCTCGAACACCTGGCGTGCACCCAAGCTGGCATGCTCCAGAGATATCGAACTCAACATGGCAGGGCTTGGGGTTGAAGCACCTGGAAGTGTAGATGTCGTTGATGACATTGGAGTAGCTTCAGCAACGTGTGTCGACCAAGTCATCCCATGGGACCCTTTCGCGGCCATGGCTGGCGGGAGGCCGCTGAGGACATCGCCGAGGCCGCCGGTCGTACTCCACGACGCCATCTCGGCGCCGACGAAGACGACGTTCATGCCGGTGGACGCGACGAGGGACCTGCCCGCGGGCCTGCTGCTGCCTCGGAGCCGGGCACGCACGGGCCCGCATGCTGAGCATGTGGGAGACGGCGATGTGCTCGGAGTAGACCCCGTAGGGCGAGTCGGTGGCGGCACAAACCTTGAGCGCGACCAGTGGGTAGAGCGCGGCGCTGGTGGGGTGTGGCGCGCGGCGGGCATGCCCCAACGAGGATGCGGGGTTGGAGACGATTGGACTGGAGGAGACGGAGAGGATTTGGCCCTTTGTGAGCATCATCTGCGTGCTCCGACCCACGGAGGCCTCGGCCTCGGGCTCTGGGTCCGGCTCGACGTCGGTGTTGTAGCGGATCTGGTCGGCGAAGATGGCGGCATTGGGCGCGGGGTAAGTCGTGGCGTCGCCGCCTTTTCCAGATACAAACTCCTCGTGCGTGAGGATCGAGGCGTGCGCGGTTATGACGGAGCTGGTGGAGAAGGCCGCAGAGGCGGGGATGTACTCGATGTCAACGGGGCCGCACTGGGTGAGCTTCTGGACGACGTCGAGCGGCGCGTCGGGGTTGGTGGAGGTGAACTGGTGGACCTGTATGTCGGCGAGGGAGTCGGCACCCGGGAGCAAGCCATGGTCGGCGGGGTCAAACTCGAGGGTGATGTCGGCGCCGTCAGCAACGTCGGTGGCGGCCGGCTCCTCCAGGATGTGGGCAGGCTGCTGGAATAGCCCACCCCAGTTGTCGAAGCTGTGGTCGGTGGGCTGCTCGAAGAGCCCACCCCAGTTGTCCACGACGACGGCAGCAGCCTGGGTCAGAGCGGAGGGGATGTCGGCGGGCTGCTCGAAGAATACGCCCCAATTGTCAGCTACCACCTCGACTCCGTCCGCAGCAGACAGAGACGGAACGAGGACGCCCGGAGAGGCCTCGCACGCGCCGTCCTACACGGTGAATCTCTGATCCCACTTCGCTTCGTACTTGTGGAAGATTTTGCGGATTTTGTCGAGAAGGAGTTGGGTAGAAGGAGAGATCTCGGTAAGAGGATTCATGGTGTTAGAAACCGAGAATCGACGGCTCTGGTACCAGTTGTTAGCAACTAGATTGGTTCACAGATAACGTGATTCAGGCAAGGAAAGTACAGGACCTCATAGGAAAGGAAGGTCGGAATCAGCGAGCAAGGGAATAAGGTGCTAGGATATAGGTCTAGAAGGAACTGGAGATAGGAACCGGGAACAAGATAGATAGAGAGTTGGGAAGAAGAACAGTAACTAGGGAGAGGTACTATGTTTTGTTCGATGCCCTTCCTCTTGCCATCCCGGCCCTTTATACTGGCTTGGCCTTGCCTTTGCTTCTATCTCGACAGTCCGCCCCACCTGACAGTCCATCTTACACGTATCCCTGACAAGATGCAAGTAGTCAACTGCACACGCCCCTGCCTTTCACTTGTGCAGTCAGTTTATCTTAGTTTGGTTTATTAAGTTTTTTTAAGCAAATTGACAAGACCCCTGCCTTTCATTTGAGGTAGAAAAGAAGAAACAAAACTTGGTTTTGGTAGTCACTCTATGAATCAAACAAACATGGGCTCATGTACAACACAATTTGCAAGAACTTCATTGCAGTCAACGAGAACCATTGCTCTCATTCAATATATCCCTCATGTAAAAAGTATACAAAAATCAGTATGAATTACAGCATAAGTTAGGCAACTCGCAAAACCATTTATAAATTCGAGAAAAAGCTTAGCTATCAATTTTGCATTATTTATCATGGCAAGTTGATAGAGAACATGTCCTGGAATATTTTGTCCATGTTAGAGTTCTGAGACACCACGACAAAAGCATAGCAGTCAAATTGTCCTCTAAGATTTTGTGCACCTAGTTAGTAAGAGTGTGTTTCCCTTCAACTTATCAGCCGGCTTATCAGCTAAAATCTACAGTATTCTCTCTCACAACAAAACAGCTTCAGCCAACTTTAATAACAGCCGAACAGGTCCACGTTAGTAAGAGTTGTGTTTCCCAGGCGTCTGAATCCAACTGTGGAAACTATGTTGTCTTGTTTTTTTTTTAGGGAAACATGGGCCGTGTTCGGCTGGCTG